CTCCTCTTGGTGTGCCAGAGGTGTAAGCGGTCTGCAATGTGGTGGCACCCTGCCTTTCCAAGATTTTTTACCTAGACTTCAAGGCATAATCACACCCACATTTCTCTTTACCTTTCCCTCAACACACGCCCATCCTTGAGTCTCCCTGACTCTTCCATAGTCCATCTGCTTCCTGACCAGCATCAACACTGCTTCCTAGTGAGGCTTCCTAGTCTGGAAGAACAGAAGGAACCCCAAAGGCATTTCTGGTTAAGAATGGGTTAGAGACTTTCTATTACAAATCACAAAAGCTTAACCAGAATGTTTTAATTGTCTGTAAATTATTTAACTCTGAACTAAGTGAACACCCAAATATCTATATACTTGAAAAAGAAAACTGTTTGATTTCTTTATGCAACAGCAAAAGACAATCATTCTGGAAAACTGTGCCACACTGTCATTACACATGCTTAGGAAGGTGATACGTAGCAGCTAAGGATTCATTTTTACTGCCTTTGAAAGGAAGCACTACTTGGCATGCCCTTACTCTTCATCAAATATGTAGTCAAGATCACAACTTGTATTTACTAAAATAATCAACAAATTTGGTTCTTACAAATGTGTTGACAAGAACATCTGTGTCAACAAGAACTCTGAAAAATAAAAACTCCCTGAGCCATTTTCTAACTCAATAAAATGCTCTAGACTGGCCAAAAAGAAGAAGAAGAAAAGAAAAGCACATGACATTTTTTTTAGTAGTCAAGTGAACTTTGCTGGAAATCAGCTTGTTTTTCTCGCTTCCATTTACAAATTCCATTTATCACTTGGCTCTTTCAGAAGCAGCCTCTAAAAAGAAGTCATTTCTCCTCAAGTACTTCCATACTTCAGCCTGAGGCTGGGCAGCGAGCCTCCTAAGGGAGGGGACAGCTTCACCTCCCCAAGCTCAGGATCTCTAAACCAACCCTCCATATTTAATTCTATCCTCAGCTTCCTGGAGCAATCGAATAGAAGATGTTTAAAAATTACTTTGGAGATCACATTTTAACTTGACAGTTAAAGTTGAGGCAGCTTTAGAAAGTGTTCTGAAGAAGTCATCCTGACATAATACCATGTTTCCCCAAAAATAAGACCTACCCATTAAAATAAGCCCTAGCAGGATTTCTAAGCATTTGTGCAATATAAGCCCTACCCTGAAAATAAGACCTAGTGATGGGCATGGCTACGCAGCGTATCTGCACCACCCATGCATTTCATCGCAGAGCAGTAAAGAAGACGAGCAGCCCTTCTCATCTGCCCCATGAGAGCTCTATTGCTCCACATGAGAGATTGGGGCCAATGGTTCTAAAGGAAATACAGTCGCAAGAAATTCAGGATGGAATTCAGGGTTTGGAGAGTTATGATGATGTTCCAGAAGAAGACGACTTAACTATATTTGAATAAATGAAGATTGTTGTATTGTACTTAAAAAAATAACACACCCCCTGAAAATAAGCCCTAGGGTGTCTTCTTGAGAAAAAATAAATATAAGACCCTGTCTTATTTTGGGGGAAACACGGTATAACTTCGCTTTAAAGTACAATTAGTAAGGAATTTCATGGGAGTTGTCTGGTCAGAAAACAGCAGGAGTCTTGAGTCTGACAGCCTGGATCTGACTTCTGGCCCCACTTCTTACTGAGTGTGTGACTGGTGGCAAGTCATTCAGCCTTCCTGTGCCTCGGTTTTCTTATCTGTCAACTGGGTGGTATTACTTTGACTTTGTACTGGATTCTATCTTCTATTCTTACTTTAATTTCATATCTAATAGCCATAGCTGGGGATCTCGGTGCTAACAAGGCAACAGCTATACAATTCTTATTTGCATTCTGTCTTCTTCTCTCTCCACTTCAAGATCATACCTATAGACTCAAGATTAATAATAGAACAGAAATATAGAAAAGGCAAAAGGCAAAGTGGGGTTGTGTCTGATGAGTCTTATATGAGTTTTCCTGGCATCAAGTGTGATACCAGGCACATAGAATCACATAGTACAGAATATTTGAAAATATAAGACAATAGAAGAAATGGAAAATATGTATATGTACAAATACATATATATACATGGCTCGAAATTATACACAAAAATATTGGGAAAATGTGCACCAAAATGGTAACTTGTTAGCAATAGGTTATAAGATTACAGTAACTTATTTTCACTCCCTGTGCTTTTCTGAGCCTTCCCAAATTTCTACAATTAATTAATACATTTAAAACTCAGGAAAAAGGTTTTTGTTTTCCCAGACAACGTTTCTAATAACGTGTTACATGCAAAATCTGTGACAGCAATAACGAGAATAGCTAATCTTTATTTAGCACTTCTTACGAGCCAGATTCTGTAGTAAGGACTTTACATAAAGGATCTCATTTCATCTTCACACCCTATGAGGTAGGTATTGCTCTGACCCCCATTTTACAAAGGAAATAACAAGTTATCTGTGTGGAATCACAGAGCTGGTAAGCGGTGAAGCCCCGGATACGAACCCAAGGGATCAGCTCCACGACCCCCACACCCACGTGCGGGCCGCAGGCTTCCTCCTGCCTCCATCCACGCTGCCTCTGAAAATCCTAACCTTTCTGTTCTTGATTTTCATGTCTTCCAAGCTCTTTATTGATTCTCATGCCTTTTGGGAGGGGTTTGGGAACAGACAACGTGTGCATTTCCGGCAAGCGGTGAACATCAGGCACCCACTCCGTGCAGTCCTCTGCCTTAAACAACAACCCTCCATATTTAATGCTATCCTCGAAATCCTGGAGCAGTTGAATAGAAGATATCTAAGAATTACTTTGGAGACCACATTTTAACTTGACAGTTAAAGTTGAGGCAGCTTTAGAAAGTGTTCTGAAGAAGTCATCCTGACATAATATAACTTCACTTTAAAGCACAATTCGTAAGGAATTTCATGGGAGTCGTCAGGTCAGAAAACGGCAGGAATCTCGAGTCTGATAGCCTCCCCCAGGGGGACATAAGAACACCAACCTAGAACATCGATGACTCACTTGGCCTGAAGATTCAAATACATCCATGGACAATCTCTCCAAATCTTGAACTATGTCAACAAGAAAGTAATTTTGGATTTGGGGTCTCTTAGGCATCTGGGCATTAAAAGTGAGCCATATCCATGGAGATGGCAGGGAGGTAGGTAGAGGGGGATGGATGCTTTTTGCCTCATTTAGTAAGAAAAACTATGAAGTTCGACCAAAGAGCCTCCCCTTCCCAAATGCAGAAAAAATGCTTCTTCTCCTATCACAAGTAGTCTCCTCCCTGGCCCTCCACACAGAATATAACTCCAGCTAACTCCAACTTTTCAACTAGCCCTCTTAGCTTCTCATGACAGACAACCATCGACACTTTTGTTTTTTTGAGACAGAGTCTTGCTTTGTTGCCCAGGCTAGAGTGAGTGCCATGGCATCAGCCTAGCTCACACAAACCTCAAACTCCTGGGCTCAAGCAATCCTACTGCCTCAGTCCCCGAGTAGCTGGGACTACAGGCATGCGCCCATGCCCAGCTAATTTTTTCTATATATTTTTAGTTGGCCAATTAATTTCTTTCTATTTTATGTAGAGACTGGTCTCGCTCTTGCTCTGGCTGGTTTTGAACTCCTGACTCGAGCACTGCCCGCCTCGGCCTCCAGAGTGCCTAGGATTACAGGCGTAGCCACCGTGCCCAGCCCATCCGACTCTTGATACTGTTCTGAATACTGCCAGGTATCTTAGCCTATCAGTGATTCATTTCCTTCCCACCTCCCCAAAATTGGAGAGAACATATTGTCTAAATCAGGTGTCCTCAAACTACGGCCCACAGGCCACATGCGGATGTTTTTGCTCGTTTTTTTTTTTTTTTACTTCAAAAAATATCTGCAGTATGCATTAGGAATTTGTTCATAGTTTTATTAAACTCTACGTCCCCCCCAATGATCTGAGGGACAGTGAACTGGCCCCCTGTTTAAAAAGTTTGAGGACCCCTGATCTAAATCATTAAGTGTTAGAGAAACACTGTGGTTGTCATTAGTACTGCTACCTGCTCTCCAGTTCTCCCAACCAGAAATACCCCAGCAAGATAGATCACCCCTCCTGGTTAAGAAAACCACACTGTTCAATGGTTACAGATGAGTAGCGCTCACTGGCATGATCTCTGTCATAGCTCTGGAGACTCAACCCTTGCCACAGGTGACCTAGTCACATAAAGGACTTGGCTCCCTGTAGCTGTTCCTCAGGAGAAGCCATTATTGTACACATAGAAGGTCCTGAATTCACATGATCTGTTTAGAACTTGTCATCGCTAAGAATCAAGCTTTGCCCAGTGCAGAACCACATCAGCCCAGGCCACCTGCAGCCAGGCAAGGGACCAAGAGCACATGTTCTCCTCCCAGCCTTTCCTACCAGCCAGGGGCACCGCTGCTCTGGCTTTCTCTTGAGGGGTTTCCCAAAGAAATTATACACCGTGGGTAACAAACACAAAATCAAAGTTAAAATGTGCTCATAGGAGGAGGACTAAGGATCCAAACAAAAATAAAAGGGGTGATAAAATGACAAATGTCACATACACACACTGAAAGGGTCAGAACCAGCGCTGTTGGCACATTTCTCCAACTCAACTTGACGTGGATGGGTACACAGTCAAACCTTCTGAGCAGGTGTGTTCACAAGCAGCCTTTTAACCCTGACCTTGTGCAAAATTGTCCTTTCTCACAGCGCATTCAGAAACATCAGCATCACTTACAGCCAGGTAGTGACATCCAAGCACGTTCCATACTCTCTTCGCACGGGGCTCGCCACATTAAAAACAATCACGCACCAGTAATTAAGTAGAAAGCCACGTGCTCCTGAAAATTAGGGGATTTGGTTAAATGTTGGGACTGCAACCTACACGTGGAAGCAAAGAAACCATCCAAAATAAAAGTTTAAATTAGTAAACCAACAGTGCTTTACTAATCATGCAGGAGATAAGGATATAGATAACAGAGTAGAAGGTGTGGTACGTTACCCAAAAGCCCCGCTAAAGACCGCATGTCCTTCTCCATCAGCATGTAAATCTCTTCTTCGGAGAAGCGGCCAATGCCGTGGCCATGCATCTCGCGTTTCACAATTCCTTTCGTTATGTGGCACACGACCCACCTCAGCAGGTTACTGAAGGGACCACCACCACTAAGAGAGAGCATCTTCCGGGTCTCATTGAGATTGTCCACCCACTGGCAATAAGCTAACGTCCTAGAATTGTGTGGAAACAAGTTATACTGTGCATCAGGTACATCCCCGCTCCACAGAGTCACTTCCCAATGAGCTGTTCAGAATTTAGTACACTCTGGAGAGACTGAATTATCACAGCTTTTACAAAGAGCAATCTGCATGGCAGATACCACAACAGGCTCTAGTTGACGCCTAGACTTAAGGGCCTGTGAGAAAAACGGTAAAAAAAATCCAGATAGCGATGCCACCGAAGCTCTCCTGGTCCCCACCCTCGGGCCCCCTCCCAGTGCCATGCTTCCGCTCTCTCTTAGGCAACCCCGCCGAGAACAAGCAGAAACCTGCTTTAACAGTCTTTGAGTCAGGGGAGTGAGCGCCTACGGGGCACAGGGCAGGAGGCCATACCAACGGGGTGCTGGCATCATCCCTTTCCTGAGCGAAATGACAAGTCCACAGGTGTCTGCTCTGCACTCATTAGTTCCGCTGCACATTTCTGTTTCCTACACTCTGTATGCACTTAATGTTTCATGATATAAAAAGTTTTCTTTTAAAAAAAGAAATCGTTTTGCCTTTTTGACAGAAGATTAGGGAGTAGGTACACCTGTTCATCTTTATTATACATTATAAATATTATGTAAACATTTCGCTCTCCAGAAAATCAACTCTTTACATCAGTTTGTTCTCAAGAACGTTAAAGCGAATACAAATGCCAGTGCAACTTGCTTGAATCCTTTTTCCCACCTGGGTGGTGCCTGCGGCAAACTCACCCGTCCAGGTGTCCCTACACTCGGTGCAACAGGTGCGGCGTGCTCAGCGGCTAGTCACGTCCACACGTCCTGCCCGCCGCCAGACCCAGGCCTTTGCTGATTGTGTTCTCCACACCTGTGTGACTGCAAGAATGTTCCTATGGCTAATAGTGTTGATAGAGATTAAAAGGGTTTCCCGCTGAAGGCTGGCATAGGACATTTTTGTTTTTCTGCACAATGAGCAGTAAAAGATTCATTAGCCGTTACCTCTACTCCTACTGCAGGTTGAGAGGGCAGAAATGGCCTCTTCAAAAAAATCAGAAGAGCAAAAAATATTTTTAGAGGGAACACAAGGGGTGATAGTAAATTGTAGCTACGATGATACGTTATTTTCCACCCCAAGAAAAAAACATAAAGGTAAATAACAAAGGCCCAGGAATTTTTGATCGTTGTAAATAGTTATATTCTTTTAGGGTTCTCTCCTCTTAAAAAAATGAAAAAAGAAAATACAAAATAGATTTCTCTAAAATTTCAGAGGCATTTCTGATTTTTAACTGAAAAGTCCTACAATCAATTTCAACACAGTTTGTACTATAACTCTTCTTTATTACCTTTTGAAAATAATGCCTAAAAATCTTGTTAGAAAGCTTTGTGTACTTCTTTTTTGTAAGTCTCTCATAATAAAGTATTGAGGAGTCAAGAAATGGATATTTCTGAAAATAGGAAAAAGTACATCACAATGATGACTAATTAATGTACACAGAGCATTCAATGTACCTTATGATATAAAATATCTCACGCTTATTCTAGCAAATTCTATATAAACATGGAAACTAAATGCTTTTCGATTTGCCCTTCTCTTTACACTTGCAGTAATTAAGGTGGCAATTTTTACATTCCATTAGAATAATTCAGCACTTTGATTCCAATTGTACTAGATCTAAATTCACAAATAAAGGGTTACACAACCTTTGATTATTCTGGCAGTCAGTGGTCTGAGGATAAAATTAAATAATCTTAAATTGTGGATACTAGCATCCACAAAGCAACTACAGCATAAAATGAAAAATGTGTAGCTCTAAGCTGACAGGTTAATATGAAGAGAAAAAATTCTTCATAGGTAAATTACACAGTTTTATCATAAACATAACCAATCTTGAAGGATAGGCAGAAGCTCCCAAGGCAGAGTAGAGGGTGAAGGTGTGTGCATAAAGAACATTGGCTGATTGGCGAACTGCAAGAACCCAGGAAGGGTGTGGAGGGTATAGCTGGAAGCTGGAAGACATGAGGCTAGAAGGGGGGATAAGGACCAGATCAGGACAGGCTGGATGCAGACTGAGCTGAACTTTATTCCAAAAGCAAAGGTTAACTGCTGGAAGGTTTTAAGCAGACAAGAAACATAATCACATTTGTGGCAATCTGAAGGAAGGGCTGGAAGGTGGAGAAACTGCTGATAGCAAGACCAGTGGTTACAAGACTACAGCAAAACCAGGAAAGAAATGATGCCCTGCCTAAGACAACAGCAGAGGGGAGGCTGGATAGGGAATGTGCTGGAGAACTATCTAGATAGAAGAAAAAAGGTCTATTGACCAATGGGTGTAAAGGATTATGCATATGGAAAAATTAAGTATTTTCTCCTAGACTGATGGTTTCAGCAGATAATACCATTAGCCAGTACTGGGTTACACAAGATGGAACAGACTTGGGCAATGAAAGTTGAGTTAACCTGTTGCATTTGAAGGTCCCAGGGAATCCTCAAGTGGAGACAGCTAGAAGGTTGAGAACTCAGGAGAAGAGGTTTAGACTCAAGATATAGAATTGGTGGGGAGGGGCATGTTGGTGGCAGCTTTAAAGCTTTAAGAGGAGATGAGGTAACTTAAGGAAGTTTCTAGAGTAAGAAGTGGTATTAGAGAAACCACAGTTCAAAGTCAAGTTAGAAGATGAGAAGTCCAGGCTGGAAGGGCCAGCTTGGAGAGAAGTAGGGACATCGCTTTCTCTGGGATGGAGAGAAAGAGGGTGTTGCAAGGGGTGAGAGGCTACAGAGAGGTTCAGAGTTCCCACCTGATGATGTCAATTTCCTCTGCAGAGTGGGAAATGAGGGCATGGGCAGGCGAAGAGGACATAGCAATGGGTAGAGAGATTTAGGAGTAGCAGGAAAGAATGAGAAAGGCAGCGTTCTGGGCCACACAGCTTGGTAGGGAGGAATCCCATCAATGCAATGGTGGAAGGTTCTCCACCTGCAGTAGCAAGTCGAATACAGGGCACAGAAGAAGAACACTGGGTTGATTCAGAATTTTTCAGCTACAAGTAACCTCAGAAATGGGTCTTCCTCTCTTTTCCCTCCTGCCCTGGTCTTGATTTCTACTCCTCTCTTTCACTCCCTGTGTCCAATATTACAGATCAGTGTCAGGAAAGAGAGGCAAATCTGGGCCAGGCTGGCTCTTGAGAGTTTAGGCCCCATGAAATGCGTATGAACTTGAAACACCAGAGAGAATAGTTGCTTCACAGATTCCTAAGTCACTACTGCAGATGGAAGACATCCCATTGTACATGCTTCCATGTATTGCAACCAAGAATCCACCTCCTCTCACAACCAAGATTCCTGAAAACTCTATCCAAGTGGTAGGGGCTTCCACCCCACCACTCCACTGAAGTCACTCTTGTCCAAGACAGCTGTCACCTCCTTGTTGCAATATCCAAATAATTGTCTTTCTTGAACTCTCTGCAGCATCTGACTCCATTAACCTCTTTCCTGGGACTCCCGCTTAACTTACACCTCCACTGCTTTCCCTCTCACTCACCCCCTTACACGTTCCCAAGATTTCTACCTTCTTTCCTCCTAGCGTGGGGTAATCTAATTCATATCCATGATTTCAAACTGATGACTTCCAAATCCACAGCCAGACCAGACATCTGCCCTTAAGATCCGTGGATCCCACGTGGATGGTCCTCGGGAACTGCAAACCAACATTTCCACTCACCATCTCTGCTCCCTTCAAACCCGCTTCTCCTTCCCTAAGCCAGAATGCCAGGAGCTTCCCTTCACTGCCCCTCTCCCTCCCTCCCGACAGCCAGGCAACCCTCGAATTTGCTCTTTTCTCCCACTCCATGCACACTGTGTCCTGGCCTTCACCATTTCTCAACCTGGAAGACAGTGGCCACCTACCAGGTCTCCTGAAATCCCCTCAAGGCCCTTCAGAAACCCAATTGCCCCAACGTGCCACAGAGAGCTTCCTAAGCACAAATCTAATCATGTCACACTGCTTCTCAGAGTCATTCATCAGCTCCCACAGCGCCTCAGCATGGCACACCAGCCCCTCCCCATGGTCTCGCCCCTCTACGGTCTGGCCCTTCTCTGGCCCCATCTCCCTGCACTGACTCCTGGGCACCCTATGCACCAGCCATACGGAATCACATGTACCTCCCTGCTAGAGACTGAATGTTTATGTCTCCCCACCACCACCTCCCCCAAATTCGTAGGTTGAAACCTAATTCCCAGTGTGATGGTATCTGAAGGTAGGGCCTTTGGGAGGGAAGCAGATCGGAAGGGCAGAGCCCTCTGAATGGGATTAGTACCCTCATAAAGAGGCTCCAGAGAGCTGCCTTGCCCCTTCTACTGTGTGGGGTTACAGTAGGACGATGGCCATCTAGCTACCAGGGAGTGGGCCCTCACCAGACACCAAATCTGCTGCTGCCTTGATCTTGGACTTCTCAGCCTCTAGAACTATCAGAAATAAACTTCTGTTCCTTATGAGCCACCCAGTCTATGGTATTCTGTGATGGTAGCCCAAACAGGCTAACACACTCCCCAAAGGCTTCTTTCTTGGCTCTAAACTTTTCCAGATGCTGCTCCCTCTGCCTGGGCATCCTAACCTTCCCCTAACGCCAGCCCCTTCACCCACCACTCCAATCGTCTTTTGATTCTGTTGTGACACCACAGCTTCTGCGAAGCCTTCCCCTCATCTCTCCGGCAGTTGCTGGCTGCCTTTCCTCAGAGCTTCAAACTCTCCCCCAGCACTGACTGTTATGAAGCCTCGATGTCTCCCTCCTGCCTGTGAGCCACTTGAGGACAGGGGCGCAATGTCTGGCCACTAATAGTCATTCATTAAATTTGTTGAAAGAAAGAAATAGCCGGGCACGGTGGCTCATGCCCATAATCCTAGCACTTCAGGAGGCTGAGGTGGGAGGATCACTTGAGGCCAGGAGTTCCAGACCAGCCTGAGCAACAAAAGGAGACTCTATCTCTACAAAAAAATAAAAAATTAGACAAGCAGGGTGGCGCATGCCTGTAGTCCCAGCTACTCAGGAAACTAAAGCAGGAGGATTGCTTGAACCCAGGAGTTGGAGGTTGTAGTGAGCTATGATGACACCACTGCACTCCAGCCTGAGCAATAGAGCAAGACTTTGTCTTAAAAAATAAAATAAAATAAAATAAAATAAAAGAATGGACTATTGATTGAATGAAAAAAGGCTTGGCTTTTGACCCAGCTACTGCTAAGTGCTCTTTCTAAGGGATGACACACACTTAAATAGAAAGATGGAAAGAGGAAAGTGTGGCCCATGGAGGATGAAGAAGGGGCTGCCACTCTTCCCTTCTGGACTCTGTGGCTTTTCACTCCCCACTGGGAAAAGGTCCACTGCACAAGGAATTGTGAATTATTAACTGGCAAGGATGGGGAGGGCCAATTTGGAAAAGAGACAAGTCTAAGCAATTAAATTTGTCATTTCGAGAATCTATTTCAGGAAGTTGAAATACTCATTTTCCTTATCACAAGAAAGGTATCTAATAACTCTTGCAAAAATGGGGTCAAAGTCTTTTAAAAAGACTTTCTTAGTCAGAACAGATACACAAAACCAGTTCAAACATTTTTAAAGGAGATCAAGGAAACAGGCAAAGAAAAGCTTACTCCTGATGTTTTCATGAAGTTTTCTCTCATTACAACCTAACATGATGCCTGGCCCACAGTAGAAAAGAATATTTATAAGTGAGAAACTGCAAACCATGGCAAACTACTGTTTGATGCTGAGTATCACTATATGGCCTTCCAAATCATGAGGATGCCTTTCTCTGCATCATTACATCTTTGCTGTCTTCTGTTTGCACTCCGAATGTTTGCTTAAGGGTGCAGAAGCACATGATATGCTTCTGTAATTTCACCAAATTCCACGAGCATTAGATGAGCCCCTCCAAACAGGAGTCCTCATTACGTCTAAAACTGGGGTAAGGAGAAAAGAAAGGAAAGGAGAATATATTGATGAAGTTGTTATCTTGGAAAGTCTCCTGGCTTTTAGAAAAGATCTCCTTGGGTAAGTCATTTTATGAAAGCATCCCATCTCCCCCATTTCTGGACTGCACCAAAAGCCAAGCTCAACATTTTAAAATCATGCCCAAGCTAGAAGTGAATTTGAATTCACTGTTCTAACGCATATGATTTTATGGGTGAAAATGTTATAACTAGATAGTCTGACAATGATGCTCAGTACACTTCCCTGGGAGGTTGAAAGACTCCTACCATACTCACTGACGTCCACAAGGGGGCAGCATGCCACACTGGAGAAGCCAGTGACTGTTATCAAAAATCAATTTCATTCCAGTAATTTGACCCTCTTCTCTCAGACTTCCCTTTATAGAAGCTTCCCTGCATTGCATTAAGTTAGAATTCAGTAGAACAAAGAAGATGAAAAAAAAAACTTGTCTTCATCCTCTTCAATAATAGCTTTTATAATGCAAGTGGGACATAATTGTATAGATTTCAAGTTGAAGAAAAACCATTTTATAGCTGAGTGTGCTTATTTCAATAGACCTAACACAGAGCTTCAGAATTATGTGATGTTACATAATAATGACAGCTTTCTATTGCCTGTGCTTTTCATAAAATCATAACTGGAGTATTTTTAAGGTTTCAGGCCAAAATAAACACATCTGAAAACTCCACATAATTGAATCATCAAGTGAGTGAAACGCGGTGGGTTTACTGAGTTGGCTGAGTTTCCTCTTCACCTCCGTAAGTACAGAGACAACCTAGGGGTTCATTGATTGTTAGAATGGAACAAGATCTCACGGAAAGCTCACACTTTCCTACAAGTTGTGGTCAGGCCCCTGCGCTGGCCTGGCTGGCCTGGCTTCCGCAGGTCACCGTTTTGTGTGTGGCCTCTGGAAGCAGAAGAGGGAGGGAGCAGAGATTCTCGGCATTTTCTTCCCATGGGGAGAGGAGGGTCTTTCCTCCATGGGGATTTAGAGCCCTCGGAAAGTCTCTTCAGGGTCTCCCCAAAGGGTAAAGGCTAAAGGCTTAGGAACCCTAAGAAACAGAGAAAGATTTGTTTTTCCTTCTGCTGCTACTAGGGACTAAATGAAATTGGAGGAATCAGGTATCCAGTTCTTTTGAAAGATACTTGGATATTTGCATCTCAATCAAGACCTTTTCCCCTACCTTTCACTACTTTTTTCCTTGAATTAACCCTTGAGTAGACACAAGTAAGAAATAATAGCTGACCCTCCCCTAATTTTTCTAACTGAAAAGTGAATTAGAGAAACAAAATTATCCTTAGAAGAGTCAAGAGTATACTTAGGATCCAAACAAATCCCCAGCACTTGAAAGTTTGTACTTGATAAAGTTAAGATTCTTCCCTACAAGGGTAACACCTCCCAACTCCCCCCAATCCCCCCCACACTCCTCCACCCCCCGCATCAAATATTAGCTCAGCTTTGGGGGCTGGTAAAAGGAGACAGGGAGTAGGTAAGTGCAGAAGATGAGCTTTTTTTATCAGGGAGTAAAGTTATATAAAATGACACACACATCGCACACCAAGAACAAAAAAAGCAGTGATGTGTGTTAGTTGGGAATTTTACTGGCTCAAAAACTCTCTAACAGGAATATATATTTTCTAAACCACAACAGAAGCAAAGAGGTGCAGCCAAAGGCAGCTGACAAAGCTGTATCAATGGACCCATCAACCAAAAGAGGTAGCACTTTGGAGGGCCCCACCTAGGGCAGGCAGGAGTGTCAGGGTGGCCCTGTGTGGGTTCTTCATTTCCCTTGGTCACTGTAAAGTGAGCGAGTGAGAGGGGCTCTGTCACACAAGGCTTTTCCCAGAAACTAAGCTAAGCTTTTCCCAAAAGCTCTGCACGTCATACACAGTCATGCATTTTGGCTCGCACTTCGATTCCTGCACTCTTTAAGAGGGGAGCCCGCATTTCTCCACCAGTATTAGAAAGAAAACACTGAGGTTCATTCTGGGAACACTGAGTCTGATTACTCCCGAGCCATCCTCTACCTGGTTCCCGGCTCCTTCACCTTTGGGGAGGGGGGGGCTCACGCTCTGGTCACCCCTGGAATAAACGCAGCAAGAACCAAAAGTAGAAAGAGAAAGAGAAAAATAGAGGGTCACTTAAAATCTGACAGATAGAAGACAGCAAGTTTCCCATTTAGAAAGAGAGCAGAATGGATGAAATAGGGAGATGATAAGAAAGAACCTTCTACAGCCAACCCCACACTGAGTGTATGTCTCAGCTGGGAAGGTTTAGTAAAAGCTCCTGGGCCGGCATCTGACCCAGGAGTAACAATTAATGCCAAAAAAGTGGGCTTAACAATTCTTAACTCAATCTTTGGAACAAGACAAAATTTGCAGAAATCAGGGAGAAACTGTCTCTCAACTACTGAGGTAGAGAAAGGTGCAGAAATTCCAGAAAATGGATGAGAAAAAGAAAAAAAAAAAAAACTCAGATGACAAGAGAATTTGCAAAGCAAGAAGAACCAAATCTGCCTAACTCACATGATGTCACAGCCAGCTCCAGGCCACAATGAGCCAAAGAGGAGCGACTTACAAACATGACTTGTACGATGCTTCAAACTTGGGGAATACAAAGTAGGAGTTAAGCAATTAGGACAAAGAAACTCCAGAAAAAAGCAGCATGCTTTCCTTCTGGAACAGACAGAAGCTCTTGTTATCTAAGGAAAACTGACAGTAACCTTACAAAGATTGTATAATTTATTTCACCTAGGAATTCTATCTTGAATTCTATTCTTCCATTCCCTCCTCTAGGTATCTGTCATAATATTACTTTAATTCCACAGTTTCTACAGTGTTGGTGAAGAGCCCTGAGCCTAATCAATTGAAATATCGCCCTCACCTCCATGAATGTTCTACTGGAACTCAGTCATGCTTACTCATTGACATATCGTCTATGGCTGCTTTTGCAATAAAATGGCAGAGCTGACTAATTGCAACAAAGACGTATGACCAGCAAAACCTAAAATATTTATGAGCTAGTCCTTTGCAGAAACTGTCGATTTCTGGTCTAGATTCTAGAAACTTAACAGTCATAACTGTGACCCCCAAGTCTGTCAGACTTCTCATCCCAAACTGTTAATGTAGAAAACTTTTACAAAGGTGGGAGGAGTACCTGAAAGGTGGGACAGAACTCAGGGCTTACTTGGAAAGGATGGGGACAACCCGGAGGGGACTCACCAGTAGAAGTGCTCCTCCACCATCTTGGTCACTGCTCTGGAGACAGCTCTTTCATGAGGGCCAAGATGTTTGTTTAAATTCACTCCAAGTTTCTCTTCCAGAAAGTCAATTATGAATTCTGTGCCAGAAACCTTTTCATGGTTATATTCAATCCAAGGCATTTTCCCTTGAGCAGAGAGTTTTCCACCAAAATAGTTCTAAGCAGAGTACATTTTCAAAAAGAGAAAAGCAATACTGTATTTAAATTTCACTATACGATTAACAGAAACAAACATTCCCACCTTATGTATGATAACAATTGTACTATTTAAGGGAAGGCACTCAGCACATAAATTCAAAACAATAAATGGTTACTTTAGAAAAAAAACACTTTCACCCTCCATAAAGATATCACTTTACCCTCCCATTGATTCTATCATGGATTCTGACTTATTGTGGAAAAGAAAAAAATAAAAATAAAAAGATCTGGAGCAGAAGGCAGTATGAGGGTGGAAGGTGGGGTTTTGACATGGTTGAAATAAGGCTGCTAATAGTAGTTAATCTAGTTATAATGTATGAACAACCCAAAAATACAAAAAGTGAAAAAAAACATGAGGACGTTTGTATTTGACTAGGCTACTGACCAAAGACCTCACTTGAAACCCTGCATCTTACACTTGAATGATGTGCAATACCACCATGCTGTAAAATAGTAGTCCCCAAATGATAACACTTAGGTGTAACAAGTATACACATCAGACTCAACTACAGTGCCTCTTAAAAATGTCGGTTCCTAAAGCTGGGCACAGTGGCTCATGCCTGCAATCCTAACAGTTTGGGAGGCTGAACTGCGAGGATAGATGGAGGCCAGTTCAAGACCAGCCTGAGCAATATAGTAAGACCCCGTCTCTACAAAAAATAGAAAAATCAGCCAGGCTTGGTGGTACGTGCCTATAGTTCCAGCTACTCAGGAAGCTGAGGCAGGAGAATCACTTGAGCCCAGGAGTTTGAGATTGCAATGAGCTATGATGACATCACGGCACTCTAGCCCAGGCAAAAGAGCAAGATTCTGTCACCAAAAAAAAAGTAGATTTCTGAGCCCCAGACTAGACCTCTGCACAGAATTCTGGGGATAGTGCCCAGAAATCTGTGCTTTTCACAAGCTCCTCTTTGATGTACACAATGCTAGAAGCTCACAGTGTCTCAGAGGACCTAGATCCTATAATGTGGTGGGGGGTGGAAGGGTCACACATTTTATGCACAGATAAAACTACAAAGTGACATTTGTTCCTACTGTATAAAAGAAGGGGATTCTGTGGTAATAATTCCACACACTCAATCACCTTTCTTGATAAATCTAAATTTAGACCCTAAAGTTTTGTTTAGTTTTGTTTTGCTTTTTGAGACAGGGTCTCACTCTGTTGCACAGGCTGATAATGCCAGGGCATCACCATGGCTCACTGCAACCTCAAACTCCTAGGCTCAAGCGATCCTCCTGCGTCAGCCTCCTTTGTTGCTGGACTTTAGGTGCACATCACCACATCTAGCTAATTTTTCTATTTTTTGTAGAGACAGGGTGTTACTATGTTGTTCAAGCTGGTCTTGAACTCCTGGCCTCAAGCTATTCTCCCACTTCAGCCTCCCAAAGTGTTGAGATTACAAGTGTGAGACTCCACACCCAGCCTAGACCTCAAAGTTGATTGTTAAAACTGGGCCAATGGCTCACACCTATAATCCTAGCATTCTTCGAGGCCAAAGCAGGAGGACTGCTTGGGGTCAGGAGTTCAAGAACAGCCTGAACAAGATGCATCTGTACAAATGGAAAAACAAGCACCACATATACTCACCAGCAAACTGGTATTAACTGAGCAGCACCTAAGTACTGCTAAGTACTGTACACCTAAGTACACATAGGTACTACAGTAATAGGGTATTGGGCAGGTGGGAGGGGGAGGGGGGGCGGGTATATACATACATAATGAGTGAGATGTGCACCATCTGGGGGATGGTCATGCTGGAAACTCAGACTTGGGGAGGGGGGAAAGGGCATTTATTAAAACCTTAAATCTGTACCCCCATAATATGCCAAAATAAAAAAAAAGATGCATCTATACAAAAAAAAATAGAAAAAGTTAGCTGGGCAAGGTGGCAAGTGCCTGTAATCCCACACTCTGTCTCAGGGGGAAAAAAAAGAATCAATTTCATGTGGTCAACAAAGCCTAAATTAATCAAATTATTACAAACTCTTGCTTGTACTTCATACAAGTAGGTAGTTCAAACACTGTTGGATAACAGCAAGTGTTGGCTCCTACGGAAGAACTGGTATTCTCAAACACTTCCAGTGAAAATGTAAAATGGCACAACCACTTTGAAACCATTGGATGGTTTCTTAAAAAGTTAAATATATATCTGTCTTATAATCAAGACATTTTATTCCTAAGTATTTACTCAATAGAAAAGACAGCACAAATCCATGCAAAGACTAGTACACAAACGTTCATAGAAGATTTATATGCAATGGCAGAAACATAAAAAAATCCAAATGCCCATCAAGTGGTAAATGAATAAACAAATCTGATATAGCCTTACAACAGAATGCTACTTAGTAAAAAAAAAAAAAAAAAATGGGGCTGGGCGTGGTGGCTCACACCTGTAATTCTAGCACTCTGGGAGGCCGAGCGGCGCGGATTGCTCGAGGTCAGGAGTTCGAAACCAGCCTGAGCAAGACCCCGTCTCTACTATAAATAGAAAGAAATTAATTGGCCAACTAATATATATAGAAAAATTAGCCGGGCATGTGGTGCATGCCTGTAGTCCCAGCTCCTCGGAGGCTGAGGCAGGAGGATCGCTTGAGCCCAGGAGTTTGAGGTTGCTGTGAGCTAGGCTGATGCCACGGCACTCACTCTAGCCTGGGCAACAAAGCGAGACTCTGTCTCAAAAAAAAAAAGATGGAACTACTGATACACACAACAACATGAATGAATCTCAAAATACTTTTTGCTTAGTGAAACTAGCCAGATAAAAAAGGAGTTCATCCTGTAAGATTCCATGTACACAAAACTCTAGAAAATGCAAACTACAGTGACAGAAAGCCAATCAGTAGTTGTTGGGAACAATATCGGACAGGAAGGGGCAAGAGGAAGGGATTCCCAAGGGGCACAAGGAAATTTCGGAGGTGAATGGACACACTAATGTGATGGCTTCATGAGTATTTACATACGTCCAAATTTATCAAATTATATACTTTAAATATGAACACTTCATTGTACGTCCATTATATCCCAATAAAGCTTTTTTAAAAAGAAGACAGCATTAGAGAAAACATTAACTACATCAGTCCTGTATATCTTTGAACTGTTGCCCTAGAGCAGAGGTCAGCAAACTGTTTCGACAAAAGGCCAGGCAGTAAATGTTTCAGGCGAGCCACGCGGTCTCTGCTGCCATGCCTCAGCTTTGTGTCTGTGGCCCGAGAGCAGCCACAGACAATGCGTACAAGGATGAGCGTGGCTTGTTCCGGAAAGAAAGGTGTTTAGGGCACTGACATTCGAATTTCATATCATACGAAATATTATTCTTCTTTTGACCTTATTCCAACTATTTAAAAATGTAAACTTCCTTCGTAGCTCTCAGGCCGCAGTTTGCCAGCCCCTGCTCTGCAGGCATCCATTGGCCCTCTTCCCTCTCAGAGAAACGAAATTAAGGAACAAATTGGATCAAGCCCTGGGCAAGAAGATACCTCTTTGTAAAGGTGTATTTATGACAGAAAACTCTGTGAGGACCCCATTCTAGGAGACCCCTGGACAAATTCCCCATTTAGGATTAAAACTCCAAAATTCACAGAGATAAAAAAAAAAAATTACTGTTTCTTGTGGGAAACCACTGGGATTAGCAAAAGTGACTACTATCCAAGTTGCTCTTGCCTAAATCACACCTAGACCTGTGTGTGCCTTTCCCAAAAGCCTAACAGCACATCTTACCACAAGGGATAAAAAGAGAATGTTGAAAATTTTCTAAGACAAGTCTCTATGTAGCTAGGGCTTATGCTTCTTGCATACTGTATGTGGTATGCACTGAGCCACGCCTGACCACTGAACTGACCTCGGGTGAGGTCCCAGGGTTATGATTGGCTGCTATGTCCCCTAAAGGCAGCCATCCACTGCCTGGGCTCGGACTGTGCTGAGTGTGCTGGGCTTCTCAGACTTGTGAGGTACTATCATCTTTCTGAAAGGCTGAAAAGCAGAGCAGGTACTAACTAAATTAGCTAACTGCTGCTTGCTGCTGTCTGTGGTAGAATATATGGGGACTTTGACTGGTTTCTGCCTCTGAGTGTCTTTTTTTTTTTTTTAACAGACAGGGTCTCGCTCTGTTGCCCCGGCTAGAGCAGCAACATAGCTCACTGCAACCTCAAGCGATTCTCCCACCTCAGCCTCCCAAGTAGCTGGGACTACAGGCATGCACCACCAAGCCGAGCTAATTTTTTTTATTTTTTTGTAGAGATGGGTGTCTTGCTATGTTGCCCAGATTGGTCTCAGATTCCTGAACTCAAGCAATCCTCCAGCTTCAGCCACCCAAAGTGCTGGGATTACAGGTGTGAGCCACCGCACCTGGCTGTTCTTAGTGTCTTGATACTTTATCACATTACTTACTCTAAAGAATGAAAGTGGGCCTGGTATGGAAAAGGGTAATAACTATTGTGGCTGTTATTCGGGCTGCTGTTAGTCATATTACCTTTGTGCAATGTAGGTAATGGAACCTCCTCTGGGTGGACACAGTCCATGCCAAGATTCACAGCTTGGCAAGTAGAACTAGATCAAGATTTCACTCCCAACCCCTGGTCAGGCACTGTTGTGCGATGAGTAACCTGTACAACCATACATGGCAGCCCTACATATTATCCTTGATGTTAACCAGGAAAAATGTCACGTACTTCTAAAAGTTGCTAATATATCTTACATTGTTATAATCTGTATACTAAAGATATAAATTTACCATATAACGTAGCCTCTGTTTCAGATTTCTCTTGATACCACCCATAGCCTCCTAACACTGGACTCTTGTTATTTTCAGATGCAATCTGCCCTCCATACTGCCATCAGAGGGAACTGTTGGCAGTGCATGTGAGATACAAAAGCTCTGCTGCTCAAAATTACCCAACCATTTTAATAGATCTAGTCTAACCCTCTTCACATAGCAATCTAGACCCATATAATCCAGCCAC